GGCTCCCCCTGGGGTGGGAAGCAGCTTAGCGGAGGCCCGGACCTGGGACCCCACGCTCACCCTTCCAATGCCCCTCGGCCAGGCCTTTCCTCCCCGCCCCACCCGCGTTCCTGCTTCCCAGGAATAGCCTGCCCCCACCCTTACCTGCCAGCCCTGTATTGGGGAATCACCAGGCTTGGGGAGATAGGAACTCCCAGCTTCCTTACCTGAGCTGCCCCCCTCCCTGGGGGTCTGGGGCACCTTCCCCTCGGGCCTTCTGGGACAAACCTGAGAGGAGGCAAGTGGAGGAGTTGGCCGTGCTGGAGTCCTATTTTCCTGCCTTCTCCCTCCCTCCCCTCCCCCATAGGTAGGACCGAAGGAAAGCTGCTCCTGGGAGGGAAGACAAGTAAAGACCACTTTACCCACATCCATGTAGCCAGTGCCATCCTGGAGAGCCAGCTCCTGAAAGAAGCCCCGGGGTTTACTGTGCGGTCAGGCTCGCTCATCCCCAAGGAGCCCCATGTCTCTTCCGCGGTCCCCAAAGCCAGTCTCCCTTTGCCAGACACCCTTCCCCCACATCTATCGGGGAGGCGGGGCTTCCTGCCGCCTGGGAAGCTCCCGCAAAGCAGTGGGAGAAGCTTGAGTGGGGTGGCACCTGTAAGTTGCTGGTGCGCTGCTTCCTGAGCCTCTGCCGCTCCTCCAGGCGCTGCCTCAGCGGAATGAGCACTAACTCCACCACGCCCGGCGCGCATTGCGCGATCTTGCGCATCACATCCTCCGGTACGGAGAAGTTCAGCTTGTTCAGCACCTTCCTGGGAGATAGGCACGGGGATGGCGGACTGGGTCTCGGGGGAATGAAGTGAGGGGCGTGGAGGAGAAGGAAGTGGTGCAGCCCTAGGGGAATGAACCCGATTCTGGGGTATCCTGTTTCCTTGTCTCCTCCCCAATAAAAGAGTCCCTTGATTTTGTTACCAGATTCTGTCTGCCCTGTCCCTCCCTACCCTGCCACCAACAGAATCCCAGGCTGGGCTTTGGAGACCATAGAAAGTGGGGGGGGGCGTGCTGGGGCAGCCCTTCCTGGGATCCCGGGGTTGGGGTAGGGGATGGAGATTCCGGTAGTGCACGAGGCATTCTGCTACCTGTTTAGGTGACCCCAATTGCTGAGCTTCTGTTGGAGAGAGCTGGCAGGGACATAATTGTGCATCTCCACCATCTTGGGGAAGTAAAACTTGATGACTTCTGCAACCAGGACTGAGGGAATGGGAACAGACACGGACGGGGTGTGGGGGGGGCGGGGGGTAAGGGAAAAGGAGTAGGGAGAAGATGTGCATGGGATGGAAGAATCAGGGGTTGCAGAGCGGTGGGGCCAAGCACAGAGGTGATGTGGAAAGGGAAAGGATGATAGGGAGGGAGGGGCGGTGGAGGAGAGGGAAAGGGATTCAAGAAAGCAAGATCAGAAATCAGTGATCAGCCTCCACCATATCCCAGAGGAGTGACATCCCATCCCCATCAGCTCAGGCATATGAAAACTAAGGTCTCTGGTCCTCTAGTAGAGAATGAGTCTCCAAGAGAGCCCATCAGGGGCCTGGGGCCCACCCTAGTCATTTACACGGATATACACACACACACACTCCAACACCAAAGTCCCAAGAAAGAGTCACAGATTCACACAAGCAGACACATGTGATAAGATCCCCCTACAGATACGCACATAGGACAAAGTGTGTAGACACACAGGACACACACATGCCCATATATACACAGGCCCACATATAGCACACACACATACAACACACAGAGATGCACAAACATACACAGACACATGTTTCCATCACTGGAGTTCCAAGAGATAGTCACCAACACACACAAGCACAATAAGTCACACAGGCACCAATGTACCATACAGAGACGCATATTTCTGCCATTAAAATCTCAGGAGACAGACACCTAATAATCACAAAGAAACACATATGCACATAAGACCCCCTACATGCATACAAGACAGAACGTATCAACAAACATATGAACATACACATGCTCAGACTCCCACAAAACAGATATATAGAATACAGCAATGAACAAGTACACACAGAGAGAAGCACAAAAACATACACAGATACACATCTTAGTCATTAAAGTCTCAGGAGGGAGTCACAGACACACACCATCATCACCACCACACATGCATAAAGGATAGAACAAGGGGACATACATATGGACACACACATACTCATATTCCCACAGATACAGATAGAAACACACACACACACACACACACATAACTGAAGTTCTAAGAGATAGACACCCCCCAACACACACATACCCAAACGCACAGAAGCACAAGGAGACATATGTATACAGACCCCTTACACACGTACATACAGGACAGAACGTGTCAACAAACACGGACACACGGGACACACACACAGGAGCGCACACATACTGAGGTGCACACCTCCGTCACTGAAGTCCCTGGAGAGATTTCGCTTGGGTCGGGACAGAGGGATGTTGTCTACCCACAGGTACAGCTGGTGCAGCGCCTCCTCGTCCACGCTGCTCGCCATCAGCACCCTCGGCAAGGCAAGGCCGTTCCAGCCGTGCAGCGTCCAGCCCCAACCTCACGATCCCTCAGGCGCCTCTTCTCTCGCCGCTGAGGGCGACCAGAGCTGCCTCTGCCTCTCCCATCCGGAGACTCTCCTCCCAGCTGGGAGCAGCCATATTGTTTTCTGAAACCATAGCAACTATCCTTGGCTGGGCGGGGAGCAGGGGTTTCTGGGAGTTGTAGTTTTCTCCCTCTACTTACTCTCAGGCCCCAGCTTTGAAAAGGCGATTAGATGGCCTCCTCTTCCCAGTATCTGCGCCCAACGCCACCTGATCAGCCACTGGCCCACTCTGAAACCTGTCAAAGCCAACCAGGCCCTCAGAATCCCTGCACCAGCCTCCCCAGGGCTGGGATTCCCCTTCTGGATCCTTTAGCGATCAGTCCCAAGTGAAGGCAGCATCCCAGCGTTCGTCAGCTTTATCTGGGCGTCCACTGTTAATCATCTGCTGCTTCCCATCTGGATTGTGTGATAGGCTGTGTGACAGTGCCTCCTTGCTAGGTCCCTCCTCAGAGCTCTGTGCTATTAGGGCCCTCACTGCTACTGCCCTTCCCAGCAGTGTCCTGGTAGGGCATTTAATATGTCACCCAGATTCCCAGGGAGAGTACTAGGGCTCAAGGCCAGTGCCTTGGGCAGGTTATTTAACTACTTAACCCTATTTCCTCCTTTGTGAAGTGGGAATGGTTCTCGCCTATTTGTCCCAATGGGGTAGTAGGGAGGAAAATGGGAAGCGTATTTACAGATCTGCATTTGCATGGGGACTGGGGGTATGGGAGTAAAAGCTTGGAGAGCTCCTGTAGACACTTCCACAACCCCTCATCTCCCTCCAAAGAGCTATTCTTCCATGGGTTAGAAATGGATTTCAGTAGCCAGTTCCATTTCAAAAGAGCACTCCTTGTAGAAGGGTTAGGGATATGGGTCCTTCCTTAGTGAAGGGACACACAGTAGCAGTAAAGAGGCACTTCTAGGGTCAGCCAGAGAAGAAAGCTTGCTTCCATCAAAGACTAGCAATGTGGCTTTGGGCACATTACTGGACCTTTCTGTGCCTGTTTTCTCATGGTTTTACCTACCTTATAGGGGATTTGTGAGCATCTAAAGTGCTTAGCACAGCACTTGGCACACAGCAAGGGCCCTATTAACATCAGTTGGTGCTATCATTAATGAGATGACCTCAGTTCCAGCAGGAGGAGACAAATGGAAATGATGTGCCTTGTTGGTATTTGAGGTGAGGGGCCGAGTTGAACAGGGAGAAGGCTACTGCTCCCCCCTTACTCCAGAGCAGGAGGGGGGGTGGTGGCGGAGGTAGGCTGAGCTTCCTTAAGACTTTCTCGTTTCCTCCTCCACAGCTCAGATTGGGGTGGGGGATGATGGTAAGGGGAATCCCAACTCCTTTTTGCTATCCCTTAGTTTCATTGTCTTCAAGGCCTACAGGGGAAATCTGAGCGCTGGGAGTGTGGAAGGCCAAGTGTGGAAGTGTCACCCTACCTTCTTGTTTTAAAGTCATACATAGTGGCCTTGCCTTTCTAGAAGACACCACACCCAGGGCAGGCAAGGGACAAAAGACCTAGACTTCCCCCCCCCTTAACATTCCAGGGTGGAGAGAGGAACTGAAAGGAAGTGGTGGAGAGGGAACCACAGCAGCAGCGATGTGCCAGCCCCAGGGGAGGTGGGAAAACCGGTTTGGGGCCCAGAGCTGCCCGGCCTCCTCAAGCCCAAGCCCTCCCCTGGCTGGAACTGCTGGGGCCTGAGGGCTTCAATGAGGGAGGGGCTGGGCCCGGAAAGGAGAAAAGGGGTAGGATCAGCAGAGACACCAGTCTTCACCTTTGGACTGGGGTGCCCCCAGCTTCTTGGGGATGCAGTCTGTCCCAGGAATTTTATCTTCCTCCTGCCACTGTCCCGAGGATAGCCACCTGGCTTGGAGATGCCAAACACGGGAAGGTCTAAAGGGCTCCCTCTTAAGGCATCAAAGGTAAACCAAGGGATGCCCTGTATGTCCCTCCAGACTCCAACCTGGACCACAGAAGTTGCCCCAGCACCCCTCTTGCTCTGTCCTCTGGCCCCACCCCTGCAAGGACCTTCTTTAATGGGCTCAAGAGGCCTAGTTCCCAGTTTAATTTGGTCCAACAGAGAGAGTTGGCTCCCTCCCTCCTCTCCTAGCTAACTGACCCCAAGCTTCTTTCTAACCCCAAAGCAGTGCAAGGCCCGGCTTTCTTCAAACCCAAGCAGGTACGTTTAAGCCCCTTCCTCCCCAAGCCTAGATAATATTTAGATATGGAGGTGGCCCCTCGCCCCAGTCAGGGCCAAAGCTGCGGCTACCCTCTCAACACTTGGTTCCATGTCCCACCAGAACAAGGACCAAAGGGAACCAGGGAAGGATGTGTTCCCAAGACAGACGCAAGCCCAGACCATGAAGGATGCACCCTTGGCTGTTAAAACGTTCACCCCCACAAAAGGGGGGTGGACGGATTTATTGAATTCAGACTGGGAAAGGAGTGGCTGGATGGCTGGACTATGGGCCCAGCCCCAGGCCCCCTGCCCAGGATAGGGCCCTGTCAGAGAGGGAGGAGAGGCATGGGGCCTGCAGCTACCCACAAGGGAAGTGCCCATTACCACTCCCCTGGAGGGCCTCTTGGGAACCTCCAATCTGGAAAGAAAACCAAGGGCCAACCTGGACTGGGCCAGAGAAAGGGACTGGGAAGATGGGGAAGCAGGCAGAGGCAGGCTCAGGAGCCTGCGGTGAGTTAGACTGTGCTTCTCAAGGCGGCCCAGGGGCAGGGGTAGGGGGCTGCCAGCCTTGTGGGGGCCTAGGCTGGACCTTCCTCTGGAGCCCTTCCCAGAATGGCTTTGGGGTCCCCCCCACCAAAGACCTGGTGTGGACGGCAGAGGGGAGAGGCACTCTCCGGCCGGGAGCTTCCAGGGCCCATCCCTGGCGGCTCCTGTGGCCTAGTCCACTGATGGCACGGTGTGGTAGCACCGGACAGCTCCCCACCCTCCCCACCTGGTCCCCCAAGCCCAGGGGCAAATGGGGAGGAAAGAGGACTCTGAGAAAGAGGCAATAAGCAGGCAGTGAGGCTGACGCCAGCCCCGGGCCCTACCAAGGTGGCTGGGCCTGTCACAGGGCCCGAGGAACATCACTAAAGGCTCTGGAGCTCCCCACTCTTGGCTCCATCCGCAGCGGCTGCCCGGAGAGTCCTCCGCCCTGGGCTGGCGCTGCCACATCCGGGTCGGGCAGGACTAGGCCCCGGCAGCTCAGCTTTGATGTCCAAGACCCCGAACTCCCGCCTGCCTGGCGTGGTTCTTCCTGGTCACGTGGACCAGATCGTGTTCCAAGTGAAGGATGTGGCTCTGCACTCGGTCGTCGATGGGGAAGGAAGTCAGGTACCTTTTGACCATAGCGAAGTAAGCCATGGCCTCCCCGAAGCTGGGCACAGGCACCTCGTCACCATCCTCCTCCTCATCTTCATCGTCTTCGTCATCTTCATCCTCCTCCTCTTCCTCCTCTTCCTCACTGTCAGACTCAGAGTCCTCTGCGCCCTCCAGGAAGTGGAGGGTAGGGCACTGGGCCTCCTCCTGGGCGCTGTAGCCCCCGAAGCTGCCACCAGCTTCCACTACCCCCTGGGCCCAGTCCTCAGCCTCCAACCCCTCAGAGGAGCTCTCTTCCTCCTCTTCCTCCTCCTCTTCCTCACTGTCATCAACATCACCCTCCTCTTCCACCTCCTCTTCCTCCCCCAACTCCTCTCCTTCCCCCC